TTTGCTTTAAGGATAAAAGACACTTATAAGCCAGTTGTTTATGGAGCAAAAATCTGTTAATACTATAGTAAGTATTGTCAGTCTATAGTAATGTTTAATTTCATTTTTACGGACAAGGGACCAAAAACTCTCTCAAAAACCGTTACCGTTGATTGTTTGAATGACTTTATCCACTGCCGTTAATACTTCACAATAAAATATTTTGTTGCACCCAGTACATTCGGTTCCACCAGATGATCCTAATGCGTAAAAAGTTATAACTATTTAATTAATCAACGCGATCTTCCCATAACGGTGACTTTCTAAACGTGACGCGCGATTTTAAAGATGGCCATCCACTAGCGCAGATATAAAATTGAGGCACGTTCGGAAACAAATGCACGATCAGTTCTGCTAATTAGCTGAGTCATAGGGCAACAAGATGAATAATATGGGTATGGAAATGAATAATCGTTCTACTTCAAACCAGAGACCTTGCACGAGCATCACTTTTACTAGAATCCTACCACCTTTAAAGGAACATGAGGTGATAAGGCGCGTGTAACAAAACGTACAGGAAAAAGCTTATCTGCGGTCACGTTAGTTCCGTTAGATTGTTAAATTTTATAAACACCTTTTCTCGGTGTATACGCCCTGGGAGCTTTCATAAACTTGAACTTTCGGGGGTTCAGCTACTCAAAATAAGTAAAGGGGTTTCCATAATTAAGTTGAAACTCCTAAAAATATATTTTCCAGAACCTTTAATATTCTTATTTTTTTTTAATATTGTACGATTAATAAATTATTTTTGTCTTATAAATACAAAATACCTAGGTATGTATTATGTTAAAAAATATATTTTCGTGTATTTATTCATGTATTATGTATCATGGAAACTAAACATTTCTTCATCTGTATTTGTGGTATTTTATTTTTTTTGAGATGTTTTATCGTCAACTAAAGTTTGAGTTATACAAATAAGGACAAGTCATTGTATAAAAAAATATATTTTCAGGAACAGCAATATTCTTATTGTTTTAATATTGGGCGGTTATCAAATTGTTGTTTGCCCATACTCTTAAACAGAAACCACCTAACAGTCGGAGGCAAACGAGTGAAACTAACTGCCATTTCTAAAATTCGAGGAGGGGAACGAAATGTGTAGCAGATGCTGGGAACGACAACAAAAGCATCATTTTTTACTTAGGGCCTTACTATGCGAATAAAAATTAATGGTTCTTCTGCAGGGGAATGGGAATGATCACTCAGAAAAAAGGGAATCAGGGATATGACGACCTGAAGGATATTCGCTGAAGTTGGGAAAATACAGTTGAATTGAAATGTGTTTATATTGTTGGTTATTTGCGATTGAGTAAATTTTGTTTATACAACGCATAATAATGATCAAACATAAATGAACAACAAATGACATTTTTGTGCGTAATTATTAGAAATTTATAGCAGGCTTTTGACGAGGATTTTTGAAAATCTCAGCAAGCTAGAAACAATGTCTCTTCACTGTTGAATATAGAACATCACGTGCGGTTCTATGAACATAATCACACCCAGCAGAATACTTTTATGAAACTACTAACACATACATTAATCATAATTATTAATAAATATTCTTTACAAAATTCTCACAAAGCTGGAAAGGTACATTCCGATGTTTACGTAGGTGCTCATGATGTGATCTTTCACTGCGAAAAATCTTTTTATTTCAACATTTTTATAGTTTAGATATATTTTTTTATTTCATCATTGTCTTACTGAGATTTTTGTATATGTATAAAACGCCAGACTTAACTAATTCTTATTGGCTTCGCTATATGTTGGGCGACCAAGTTTTGAATAGACCAGATTGTATTAACCATCTAGATATATTTGATATTATTATTATATTTTTTGTACATATTGCTAAAAGCGTCGCATTCAATTGCAAAAGTTTCAGTTTTACTTTGGGCAACGGTAAAAATTTCAAGAATATTTCTACCTTACATACGTTTTGTTTAACTCTAGATGGAGGATACCTCTATGGTTTGGTCTTATTATAACTGTTATTTATTTGATAACATCTTTAGAAAAAGTGCAATCAAATTTTTAAATCAACAAATTATATTTTGGCTGGAGTTTATTCAGTTCAAAGATTTTTGTAGGACTTGGATAGGATTGAGATGAACAGCATTATTAAGAGAATTATGTCACAACTTTTTACCTCCCCTCCTTATCTTTTTACTTTTCTGTCCAGGAAAAAATGGGAAAAAGACTAAAGCTTTAGGAAATTCTCTTTCGATTTCAAAGAAATATATAAAATCAACCAATTGATTGTAGCACTTCGAAGATATAAATCAAACTTTTGTTTTCTTAAATGCAATACTTTGTATATTTGTCCTTTTTTCGGTGTCTCTATTTTCTGCTTACAATCATATACAGGATGTTTTTAAATGAAGTAGCAAAAATGGTACCAGTGAATGTAGAACCAAAAATAAGAGGATTGATAAATAAACTTGGTATGAGCATCCTACTAATAAAGAGACAACTTTTCAATATTTGTTCGATCATTGGCGTATTTTATAAAGGAGTGAAACAGTCAACCCCTTTGCAATATTTTATTAGAAATTTTTTATATGAAGCAAATTATTTATTTAAAAATATTTATTGGGAAGACTGATTNGTTTTGGATAGACCAGGTTGTATTAACCATCTGGATATATTTGATATTAAATTGATATTTTTTGTACATATTGCTAAAAGCGTCACATTGAATTGCAAAAGTTTCGGTATTACTTTGGGCAACAGTAAAAATTTCAAGAATATTTCTACCAGTACGTACCTTACATACGTTTTGTTTAACTCTAGATGGAGGATGCCTCTATGGTTTATAAATTGTTATTTATCATATTAATAAATTGACACTTTCTGTCAACCAATAATTAGTACCAATTGATTAATTTATTATCAGAATAATATTTATACCAATGACGAATATGTCGACATGATCCAAGAGTTTTTCGAATCCAGAAAAAATAGTAACGCTACAGTAAGATTATACGCCAAAGATATCCAAACCTACCGATTCCTCATAGACAAACATTAGCCTCGGTGGAAAGAAGGCTTCGCAAAACTGGTAAAATTCAGCCCAATAATGAGGGTGCCGGAAGAAGGCGCAATGTCCGAACTGTTGAAACTGAGGAAACTATACTGGAACATCTAGAACAATTACCCCTTTAGTAACGATGACGCATCTAACTTTTTTAAGAGAAAACTATCGGTTTTATAGAAAAATTACAAGAGGTAAAAAAGTTGGGCAATAAATCAGTCTTCCCAATAAATAATTTGCTTCATATAAAAAATATCTAATAAAATATTGCAATGGGGTTGATTGTTTCACTTCTTTATAAAATACGCCAATGATAGAACAAACATTAAAAAGTTGTCTCTTTATTTGTAGGATGCTCGTACCAAGTTTCGTGTCTCTAGCATCCCATGTTATAGAAAAAAATTAAAATGTGAATTTCAATCCCCTCCTTTTAATTTTCCATTAAGAAAAATCATCTTATTCTAGAGAGTGTTACTTTCATCTTAATTTAGATAAAGGACAGTTATTCCAAACAAAACCTTTTTTGTAATGGCCTGTTACCCACCGGATTGATAGTAGTAGCTTCTTTGAAGAATTTCTTTCTTAGATCTTAAATCAAGTCTCTGGCTGCTTTGGCCCAACCACCATAATAATTAATATTCTTTTTAACAAATGACATTAATATATTTCAATAGATATTAATTGTTTGGCAGTAGTGATAATAATGAAGAAAACAATATGTAAAATATTTAATGGCAATATTTATTGCATTATGCTTAAAGTACCTTCCAGACTAATTCACTTTTTTGGCGGATGTTAAAAGATTTATCTTATAGTTGAGATTTTCTATTTGTTTATTTTTTCATTCCTTTTTTTGTTTGTCAAAATTAATATTGTTCCCTATTTTTTGTTCATTGATTATTGTAAATAATTTTTGACAATAATCGTTTTTTGATTACTGTGTCGTTATTTATATGTATGATTATTTTGCTTTGTTTTTTATTCATTGACAACTGTATTTTTTTGACAAAACTTATAATTTTGTTTGCATTTAAGTTCTTTTTTTGTATTACTGGGTATATCCATGCTATAATTGGGTTTCTTTCCCGTTTGATGAATTAAGGTAAATAAATCAATAAATAAATAAGTGAAAATCTGATCTAGTTTCGCATTATTATCACACTTTATAAAATTTTATTATACGGAACCTAATCAACTAAAATTTAATATATTTAACTCCGCGGTCGTATACAATACATTACTTCCGACCAGTTTCCCTGCCAACGGCGACACCAAACAACCGCTAATTATAAATTCATAATAAATCCAATAATGAATATTTATGATCGACCCGAACGCAACTGCCATTAGCTAATACTACAAATATTTTGACTAACCGCACTGAAGGAGGTTAGGTCGAATTGAACAACAGTCTACGCTATTGCACACAATTTTATAATAAACATCAATTGTGATTTATATGACTCGTTAACGGACAATATCACAACTAAAAAACGACTAGAAGGAATTGTACTGGAGCAAAAAGTACCGGATAACGTATCGTTTTCCAAAGAATTTACTAAAGAGGATTCGGGAAATACACGAGGAAGTAGTTAAAGGGCAATTATTGGAAATACTAGGATAAGGAATTGTGGATGAATGGAAACTCCTGAGTATGGGAGTAACTGCTAGAAAGGAACTAATTGGCATGTTACCTACGAGGAATGTGTGAGGTTTCGAAAGAATCCCTTTCCTTGTTACAAACCGACAGGGAGATACGTATTGTGAGAGTTTTTCAAGAGTTTGAGTTAACAAAGACTCTACTGTGTTACTCTTTCCCAACATCCACCAGTCATGCCAAAAAAAAAAACTGGAAGAGGAAGGCCCGTTTGTTCCGGACAAACGCTGCGATTAACGAAATCCGACACGGGGATCAACTAACCTGACATCTTAACATCGTCGTTGTTGAAGACCAGCCACAGGGAGAAGAAATGGTCGACTTTGAGGTTTGCGGTGAGCTGGCCGCTGATCCCGGACGTGTTGGGTAGCAGGAGCACCGCTTCTACGGCCACGAGGAGGGTAGTGCATGTCGCGAGACACGCGAGGACGACGCCGGCTCGACGGGGATGCATCACTTGTTACGCTACGACCGCACGAGGTGAACTGAACCGCGGTGGGACACCATCGCGCGCTCCGCCGAGGCAGACACGAGACGACGGACGGCGGACCGACCACGCAATCGAACAATCGATCCGCGGGTACGCTCCGGCTCTACGAATCTAACACCTTCGCTGTGCTGCCGGTCCGCGATCTCCTGTAATTTTGCAATTAACGCCGGATCGGCTGGGGCACCGGGCGATATCATGGAGATGGGTCGAAGGCACAGAAAATTCCGAAATAGTATCGGATGTCTTTTAAATCTTCTTGAATTTTACTCGTTACAGCATATGTCAATTCTGGTGTACCACAAGGCTCAAATTTGGGCCCCCTTTCGTTCCTCATATTCATAAATGATCTTGTAGTCAGAAAAATCGCTTTTTGCTAATGATCCTAAAATATTTAGTAATGTAGCTTCAGGAGACGGTTTCTTATTGACATATTTTTAATCGTCTGATATTTAACACGTCGAAATGCAAAATTGATTCTTGTTATAGAAAAAAACCTGTCTATTTGGCTTGTGCCTTACAAAGAAATAAAATACGGACCTTCATAAATCATTACAAGCCACGTGATCGCCCAGCTTAGGCAACCAACATTTCACGGCTGGTACTGTCAACTAAAAATCCTTAAATTTTGGCACCACCAATATTAGTGATTCGTTTACAATGAACAATGACAAACTGTTACGTCTACGCTCGAGAAAATTACAAGTCGGAATGTTGTGTAGAAAAGAATAAAGTGGCCATTCTACGTTAAAACAGTGATAGTAATAGAAAATAATTATTACTTGAGGGTTGCTTTCGCTGTATAGCAAAAATAAAACGCTTTCTCAACGGTAATAATAAAGTATTTTATTAAAAACTAAGTTGTATAGAAAAAGACGTGTTGACGGGGTGAGTGTTCGTTGGAGAGCCCTGTGTGTGGAGTCGGTCGTAGGTATATGAGTACGCATTTGGTCGCCGGCACCAGCCCGCGTAGACTCTTCCTGGAGTAATGCTTAAAAATGGGTCACTTGCGGCATGTGTACTCCATATACATAAAATACATGGTTTTTAAGTAAAATATACAGGGTGTTCCACCTAGGAGGGATTCTTCTGTAACTCTGTAACAGTAAAATTTATAAAAAAATAGTTTTAATAAAAGTTGTTTGGAATCAAGTGGGCCTTGTAAAGAAAATATTTTTAACTTTACAGGGTGTTCCATTTCGCGTGGGCGCTACATAACTTTGTTATATTAAATGGAACACCCTGTATATTATTGCGCTTTTAAATTCTTCGGTTAAATTAGGTAGAGTTTATTAAATGTACGTGGTGTTTAAAACTTACCGTTTTCGAGATTATCAGTTTTTGAAAAAAATCACAATTTCAGGTCTCTAAATGAGGTTAGATAGCGTCTAAACCGTAAGGGTTAGAAACCTGCAGTTTTCACAGTTCGTTTTGGCATAAACTACTCTATCTTGTCATCTGTGAGCAAAACGTGTACGTTATTTAGACTAGGAAATACTGAGATCTACACTTAATAATCTTACTAGTTGAAAAACTTTTTTGTTTCAAATGGAATGACCCATATTAATTCGTCATGGGTCAATGCAAAATTGAATGCCCCTTTAACTGATATAAAGTTGTCCATACTTATCTAGTAGTAGTAGTTTCCCAGAAAAATCAGATTCTTTCCTAAAGTCCGAAAAAGTAGCTATGTAACAGCGTGAAGAAGACCTTGCAATTTTTTTAAGTATGTACAACGTCGATACGTAGAATTTTACAAAAGCACAGCACAGCATCCAATTAAATTAAACTAAGAATTACTAAAAGTAGACTTTCAGACTGAAGTTTTGTCAGTGGACACTTGAGATGTTAAATCAAGATGATAATTTTTTTAAACGGGTCATGTTCTCCGATGAGGCTACTTTTCATAAAAATAGTTTCGTTAATAATCATAATTGCCATTATTATGACACAGTAAATCCTCACCAATTCCGAACAACTCATAGCCAACGATCGCCTTTGAACGTGTGACGAGCAATTTTGAGAACCCATGTCATTTTTGACCAGCATCTAGCTGCAGCAGTTTATTTAAACTTTTTAACAAACACTCTAGAAGATTTGTTAGGCGACATTCCTTTAGTTACACTTCGAAGAATGTGGATGCAACATGATGGTGCTCCACCTCACAATACCGCTGTGGTTCGTCAGTTTTTACACGAAACTTTTCCCAATGGATGGATTGGGCGCGGGGGACCAGTGAGTTGGCCTTCAAGGTGTCCAAATATGACAAGTTGCGACTGGGGATTTCTAAAAAGCAAATGTTACTTTAACCACCAACTACCGCGAAAGATATGTGGCAGCGCATTACAGTAGCAGTTCAAGAAATTACGCCAGACGTGCTGACCAATGTTGAAGAGTCTTTTAAAAACCGAATTTGTTTGGGTATTCATCAAAATGGAGAACACTTTGAGCAATTTATGTATATCAGCAGTTTAAGTATTCTTCTCCTTGTTGTGTTCCGAGTTTCAGTTTGTTTCGTTTTGCGTTTTGTTTTAGTTGTTAGTGGTTTACTTTTGTTTGTGAAACCACTTTTTAAACATGCCAATAAATATTGACAGTGTCAGTCCCAGGCCTGATAAAATGAGAGAAAAGTGGTTTTGCAAGGCCTCCTTGACGCTGTTACATAGCTACTTTTTCGGACTTTAGAAAAGAACCTGATTTTTCTGGAAAACTGTTAAAACTGTTGCATCCGCCCATGACAATTAATATGGGTCATTCCGTTTGAAAAAAAAAAGTTTTTCATCTCGTAGGTCTCAGTATTTCCGAGTCTGAATAACGTACACGTTTTGCTCACAGATGACAAAGTAGAGTAATTTATGCCAAAACGAACTGTGAAAACTGTAGGTTTTTAGCTCTTACGCTTTAGACGCTATCTAGCCTCATTTAGAGAGCTGAAATTGTGATTTTTTCAAAAACAACCGATTATCTCGAAAACGGTAAGTTTTAAATACCATGTACATTTAATAAACTCTACCTAATATTAAACAAGGAATTCAAAAACGCAATAAGATACAGAGTGTTCCATTTAAAATAACAAAGTTATGGGACACCCTGCAAAACTAAAAATATTTTCTTTACATGGCCCACATAATTCCAAGCGACTTTTATGAAAACCATATTTTTATAAATTTTACAGTTACAGAGTTACAGAAGAATCCCTCTTAGATGGAACACCCTGTATAACCAATATTATCACAGAAATCTGTGATGTTATCTTTCAACAACCGTTTCTGAAATAACAGAGATGACTATTTAAAAACACTGAGAAGTTGTAGGTACTCACATAATAAAAAAAAGGAAAACTAAATTGTAAAAAAACAAAATACTTGTACCTACTATTATATTATTTATATGTATTGGGCGATGAGTATCATACATTTTTTATATGTTATACTTAAATCTTCCTAAACCAAAACAGAAATTAAATGGTATTAAGTACATCTCCAAATATGTTTCGAGCAAAATTGTGTACAACACCTGCATATTTTTTTCGATTAGTTAACAATTGTAATTATTTCACATATGTATGACTTCTATAGCTACCTATTAGGGTGGCCCAAAAACAACGAATATTTTTTTGTTCGTGTCTCTTGTGAAAATGTTAGTTTATGTTTTAAGAGCCCCCTCAAAAAATCAGCTCAAAAAAAATTTTTTTAGGTCGCTCAAGATTTTTAAAAATTTCCAAAATCGTTAAAAATTGATTTAAAAAAAAATTTTTTTTTCTCGTTTTATCATTTTTTAGGTTGAAAAAAATCTCGGCTGAAAATTTTAAATCGATATTTTAATTTCTAATAATTATTTTAACTTTAAAAATACTTAAAATGTTTTCGAGCGACCTATAAAAATAAATATCAATGAACTAATATATTTTTTTATTAAATTTGATGAACAAAAGAATAGAAATAAATCACGAGACACTTACAAAATTTCTCGTGGCAAAATTTACTACCACACTGTGAGTATCATTTATAACTATTTAATTTTTTAAAATTTAAGCGTCTCGTGATTTATTTCTATTCTTTTGTTCATTAAATTCAATAAAAAAATATATTAGTTCATTGATATTTAGTTTTGGAGGTCGTTCGAAAACATTTTAGGTACACTACTTTTAAAGTTAAAATAATTATGAGTGACCTTTAGAAATTAAAATATCGATTTGAAATATTCGTTTTTTTTTTTGGGCTACCCTACTACCTATATTTGTTATTCATTTCTTTCGACCCCAAATTCACAATAATGTTTTTATAATTTGAGTTACAATTTTTATAGATAAATCACTCCTCAGATGGAAATAATTTCAAAAATCTTCTTTGCAGCTCGTGTAATCAAGTCCTTAATACTTTAGGTTCATTAAATTTCATCATATATTCCCTCTTATTTCCTAATTTAGAACTAGTAAATGATAAGCATGTTTTGCATTCCGGTTTCAGAAAAATTTTATTAATACTCAGATAATTACTTCTCAAATAATTAGGTAGTTATACAAACAAAGGAGGTGTTTGACCTGAGACAATCATCCTGCCTGGAAATTCTAATCAATATCCATCTGAAATAAAGTAATTAGTTTCCGGAAATACGTAGGTACCATAAAAGATACGGGTTTCAATCCATCCGGTTGATTGATAAAGATTAAATCTTCAACCGAGATACGTAGAAATCCCCAAAAAGAACGTTAAAAATTCAGTTCCTGCATCACATTTGATAGGAATAGTTTCCACCTGTTCCTGGTTATTGTTCTGTTAACAAGGTTATCGAAATATTGATTCATCACTAAAATGCCATTGAATAATTTATGAAGATGAAAAATTTATGGCCTAGATAGGGCTTTGCTTCCGCATAAAAAATTAGAATTATGGCTTGATGTCCCTCATGGTCTTTTATTATACGTATCTGCGTAGAAACAATTTGACGTTATTAAATATTTGAAAACCATTTAGAATTTTAACATTACAAGGCAGAGTGGTCATTCAGCTCAGTTTATCTGTGTTATTATCTAAAACTGTTAATCTCGCAAATTAATTACTTACATTGTTCTTAAAACCGGATTTAAAGATAAACAAAATT